CCCATTCCCAAAAAATCTCTGGCATTAAATAATGCCCATTCCTGTCTTTCCAATGAGTAGGCTTCCAGATGTGTTTCATCTGGCCAGCAGTCTAGGGGCAAGTCTGGCTCAGTAAATCATGTTCATTGCTCAGTTGGCATTCCTGCCTTCCCAGGGCACAGGGGCTAGGGCTCATTCCCTCTAGCAATAGGCTCTCCTGCTCATGTCTTCAAATCAGTTGCAAGAAGTCTGTTGTATGAAACAAGAGCTTCTTTTTTTTTTTTTTATGGAAAATGAAAAGGATACTAAACTGGGAAGGAAAATGCTAGGTAAGCTATACTTACACTGTTAAAATACATTTCTCAATTTATTGAATGGTAAATGAATTATCCAATTACCTTCATATACTTAAAAAAGTTAGAGGTCACTTGGAAATAAGTTCAACAATTCTGGACAAAACAAAGAAAGATCTCTGAAGTGGAGGATTCCTCACAGAGCTAAACAGTACTGTCTTTGAAAGTGTATAGCTTTGAAAGAAATTGTGTTTACTATGCTTTGTATTGTTTTAGGCACTTCTATTTTGCCTTCAGTCTGAACACCCAAAAAAATACTATAATCTCCTAGAAAGGAATAAAAGAATGAATTCTTTGTCTGATTTCTAGTTGTGACTTGTATTTAAATTACTATCTCACTGGAAGCATTTAATTTCTTCTCTATTGATTTATATCTGTTAATTTACTTGATAATACTTAATGACAGTGACTAGGCAAATAAGCAAATAAATAAAGCAAAGATTTTACACAGCCCAAAATGCATCTTTAACTTGACCAAAACATTACAGAATTAAACTGTTTTGATCTTCACCGTCAGGATACCAACAGCTGAAAACCTGAGTGTATGAATCAATTATCACTAGGTAGACTTTCCCAGGAGCTTGCAGTGCAGCAATGACTATATCATAGCTACATTTTGTGAGGATAAAATACATGGTGATTTGCGTTGTTTCTTCCCCAGCAAAGAAAGGGAACTCTTCAGTCTCTTATTTACTGCTGGATAAGGACGGAGACTAGGCAGGATACCACCATGGATCCAGCTAGCACCCAGCAGTCCTTGTGGAATACAATGCCCCTAAATGAAGTGGTTTTGAGTAATAACACAGTTTGAGTGGTACAAAGACTTTTCAAAGAAACACAGAAATTAAAAAAAAAAAAAATGTTCATTAGGAGTTTGAGTCAGTTTTATTATGCTAAGGGGCTGCAGTTTTTATGAGAAGAGTTGTAGTATGGCCAGTGGGCTCTACCCTCCAAGTAGATAGGCACTGAATGAACTATTATTTCCTGGAATGAGACTTGGTCCGCAAGTACCTTCAGAAGATGGCTGTTTTAACTGAAACAACAAGTTTCAGATATCCCAATTAACAAGACTCCTGAGGTTAAAGCTCATTTATCAAATCTTACAGTGTTTAAGTCTAAGCTGCAAACAACTTTTCACAGACAGGGGAGAAGTAAAGATCAGTCAGGGAGCCAGTTTTGATCCCAGGCTAACTCTGGTGACTTGCACCCTTGTAAAATCAGTGCAGCGTCAGGGTACATCAGAGTCAGAGCCTGACTTCAATCAAACTTTTTTTTTTTCTTTTTTTTTTTTTTGAAAGAAGAGAAATGACACATTGGAATTACATGAGTTTTGATGAGTGGTGAGCTCTTGTTTTACCACCTCTTCTCTCATAAATGACATGAATAACCTTGTATAATTCCTATTTTCTCTCTGCAGTTTTGAAGAGATCCTTTCCATGTATAAACCCTAAAAACAGCCTGAGAGCACTGAAACTTATTCTTTAGGTGGATCACATTTGGGTCTATACATTTTCCTGAGACTTTGCCAGGAGTAATGGCTAGTAACTGGACTAAGCAGAACTTCAGTAGGTTTATATGGGACAGCTGATACACTGATTCTGGCTCTGGATTTAAATAATAAAGTAGGAAATACCTCTGGTACGATTTGCAAAGGACTAGATGAATGCACTTAAAGTATATTGGTCTTTATTTCCAGACAAAAGATATTTGTGTCTCATCAAATGTATTTCATCTGTAAAATTCTGCCTACCATCCTTTACTCAGAGACTTCACCTTCTTTCCCTTGTGCATTTGATCCCCTATTTTTTAAAGTTTGTCAAGTTCCAGAAGTTGTTTGAGACTAGAGGAAAGAGGCAAGGAGACAGAAGGCGACACCTTGTTCAAAATCAGTGAGCAAGTAGTTTAAAGCCCCTTCTATCATTTCAAGCCTCTTCCTTCACATAAGGTACCCCACACTCTTCAAGAGAATATTGATTTCTGCCTTCTCCAAATTGCACACCATGTATTACTTCCCACTACTTGCTGTCCCCCCAGGACATTCTTGCACCTATCTCCTTATGCGGATTTAGGTTTCAATGGGTTTAGAGACAGCACAATGTAAGGGGTTCAGAAGGACCTTACTGACTCATTGTGCAGTTCCTTTTCCAAGAGCAGCCAGACTCCTACAGAAAGCCAGACTCCTAGCAGAAAAGGAAGGACATCCTTCACCATATACATAAGGGATCTAGACTCCAGAATCACCCAGGTGATTCTGAGACCGGCAAATTTCAGCCTTCAATCACCAAATCAATTCCCAGCAAATTTATCAAATTCCTATCTGTTTTATATTATACCTTTGGACTTAACACTCTTTGGCAATGAGTTCGACAGTTTTGTGGTAAAGATGTAAAATTCAGACTCTTGGGTAGTTTCACTTTAACTGCTAGTTTAACTATTCTTCCTTTCTTCTCCCACACAAACAATTTGAAAACTTTCACTGTAAGGTTTTTACAAATATAATTCCAAAGCATTATCATCACCTATTTATGTGTCATTGAAACAAGTCTTTTTTTGATCTCCTTCAATGTACAAATTTCATGTAAAAAACATTTCTTTATGTTAAATGCTGTAGGAAAAAATTATTGTAAAACTTCTTTGAGTAACTTTAAAAGGGAGAAATCCAAAGACAATAATGTAATGTATTGGAGGACACATCTGTTTCCCTGGACTCTAATCCAAGTGTCTGATTCAGATGTTATTATGCCCTTGATAGAGAGAAGCTGTAACAATGGTTTTATGGAAATACCTGACTGTGTGGCAGTTCCACACACTTCAAGCAGTTATGTAAGATGCAAGTTCCCATGTCATCAACACAAACTAACGGCTTTCAAGAGTAAGATTAAAAATGAAAGGTTTATGTAGGAGCCAAACAGTGATGATAGGAAACAGTAAAATTGTAAATAACTCATTTTATTACATTTCTCACTCTGATATCTGCCATATCTTCTGTTCTTCATGATTGGAATAAATCCATTATACCTAAACTGTCTAAAAAGAACAGAAGAGAAGCACACTGCCTACTGACTTTATGGATGTATGAGAAAAGAAGATAGGTGAAATTATCTTCTCAGGCCTTGATAGTGGCAAAACAACCAAAGTTGCATTAAGTCTCAAAAGAGAAAATTTACCTTGGGAGTAATTTATACAAAATTCTAGGCTTAATTTCTAAGCAATTCTAGGTTTAAGCCACTTCCTATAATATACTAATTTTCCCAGCTTTTAGGACTTTTTTATGTGTTGTGTATATTCTGACCTTTAGAACTTTCCTTCCTTTTTTGATCTGTTGGTCTTTGTGCAGTGCTGAAATGTAAGAGGTTTTGGATAAGGACAGGAATTTCTCTGTTTGCTATAAGTAGCCTACACTGCAGTTTTGCTGACAGGACACTCCTTTACCTTAACAGATTGAGTGCCTTTATACCATTCATTCATGTATATGGGTTCGTATTTTCTGGTCATCCTCTGAATCTAGATCTTTGTGCTTCATAAAGTCAATTAAAGCTTTGCCATTGACTCCAGGGAGAACAAAATCAAATTGTAATTCCATTTGGCCTCTAATCTATTTGATCTTTTCAGTCTCCCCTCACACTGCCACATCAAATCTTCCCAAACTTCCTATTACTTTCATCATAGCCTTGTTGCAATTAGCTACTGCTGTGATTAGAAGTAAAAAAATCTTCATTTAAATCTTGTGGAAGCTCAGTAATCCAACCCCAACTGCTTTTATGGAAGTATTATCACTTTGCTTTTATTTTTTATCTCTGTCTGAACCCCTTTACAAGATATTCTGTGTTTCCATTATCATAATTTTAAGGAAAGGAAAGTCAGGCACAAAAGAGTTATGTGGTTGATCCAAAGTTTTCCCAAGTTTCTCAAGTCAGCAAATTGAACTGAAACAAATCCACTGTATCAGGCTTACATCTTCTCTACTCTTTTGGAAACAGGACTGTTTCTTGAATATTTACATGCAGACACTTAGTGGTTAAAAGTCACAAGTAACACAAATAACTAAGTCAGCTAAGTTAATTTACAATTATGTATTAACTAAACTACCTCTGAGAATGGATTCCTGCAACCAAATATACAGTAGCAATAAGGAATTGTGACAGAACAGAACTGTACAGTGTACAGGAAAATATCAAGTAGTGCATCACAATCTCCTGTGGACAAAGATGTGCATAAAGCTTTTGTCTTTAGACTGCATGAATGTTTTCCACTTTGAAACTTAGAAAATACGTATAATGTTGACTTGCAGTAGGATGTAATGAAGCACTTGAATTGTAGTGGAATCATTTTCCTTATCAACAGCCACAGAGTTAGCTCATTAGTTGGTTACCTACAGGTCCAATCATGCTAAATCCCTGCGTGTTATAATGGATCTGTAGTTCACAGAAATTTAAATTTCTTCTTTTCTACCCTCAATGATTAGTGTGGATTTAGCACCTAGGAAAATACCCTGAGCTTAACATCACTTTGTCTCAAAGGATAGTATGGTACAAAATATGGGCAATAAAAATTTCCTGGCCATTTTGAATAGGATGTAATTTACAGAAACATAGTGTAACTTACTGACATTTTTTCTCTAGTTTTGCTCTCAAAGAGAGCAAATACAGTAAAAGAGGTAATAAACAGCATCTGTTGGCAGTTCTGCCCACAGCTCTCTTCGTGGTGACAAACAACATTTGACAAACCTGTGGATGATGGCACTGTAATTTTGTACCAGTGCTGGTAGCAGCCATGGGATGCAACGAGTGGGAGCACGAAGCATGAGCCCTGGGAAATGGGACAAAGCTGTAATGATAAATCTGCTGCATAGAAGAATTTGAAAGTATAGCTAAATATATTTTTAATCAAACCCCAGATGTTGTTCAATATAGTCCAAGATAACAGTGTGTTACAGACTCGTTGACTTGGCCTCCACCCAGAGCCTGAGACAGCAATGTCTGAGCACCATTATGGCTAATCATTGACTTGATTTCTCCTAATAATATTTGTTCCAGCTATAGTTATTAAAATTTATATGATTTTGATTTATTATCACAAGTTTTGGGTCAAGAAAAACCAAAAAACTAACCACCACCAAAAGCATAATGTTTGTTCATTCCTTGCAGGGAAAGGGAGAGGTGGTCTTCCTTCCCATTTCTACAATAGCTTGGTGATGGGAAGCCCACTGGATCTGAAGTCTATCTTCTGCCTCTTTTATTGAAAGCCCTCCTCCTTGAAAAAAAAATGCCTTATCTACCATGCAAACCCTTATTCAGAATATTTTCTTATCTTTTTATTGAAGCAGGTCTATCACCAAGAACAAAATTCATCAAACTAGAGAGTAAGAGGCAAAGTATGATGAAAAAGGGAAAGGGAAAGAATTAAAGACAATCAAAAGAAGCTAGTCCATTAGGACACTCTCTGGGAAGGATGCCCGTTCTGTACCTCATGTGAGGAGAGTTTATTTAGTTTACATGAAACAGTTTTGGAATTAGCATAATGTAAGTATGGAATTGTCTCCAAGCTCCTCATCACTGTAAAAGCCAAGGAACTTGTGGGCAAAAATGACAGCAAAATGTTAATCTCATCAGAAAAATATAAAATAAAGCAGTTATAACTACAAAACTCTTATGCACATAGCTACTGCTAAAACATTGACACCAAGTTTAAGACCATCAGTTTGGGTTTAAGTACAAGATGTAAATCAGGAAATAGCTGATTATGAGAGACTTGTAAATGCAAATCCAAAGGCCAGCTGGCAGGCCACCAAAAATCCAATTCACCTCCTCACATTGTATTTTTTCAATTTATTTTCATTTATTGATTACATCTTCATAGATAGCTGCAACTGAGAGATTAGAACTGCAAAAGGGAAGTGGAAGTATAGGAAAGGAGCAACACACTGGTAAATACCTTTTATGGAAGGCAATAAATCTTTATTTGGAAGTGTTAGAGTAGGAAGAAATGCAATGAGTTACTGGTAAGGGAAAAGGAAAGAGTTGTTAGGAGAAAATACAGTCAAAGGGTGTGTAAACACTTCAGATGCATCTCCAAAGTAGAAAAACTATTTCTGTCTAATCTCCCTTTATATCTCTCTCTATCATAGTTGTGGTACCTTCCCATAACCATCTCTGAAAAAAAAGCTGCTACATCCAGCCTAATTCCACCTTTTGGCAGCTCAAGCCTATAATTAATTTTTCTACTCTCTCTGTTTGGAGAGGATGAATCTCTTTGCTCTTTTTCACCAGGATTTTCAGCAGGGGAACAAACACCATGACCATGTTTGTTGTCAGTGTTCATTTCTAGGAGCTGAACAGCCTCAGTTTGGGGTTTCTTCATGGATCATATTTCCCTGAGCTTGCTCTTGCTCCACTCCTCTGGACCTACTCCAAAGGCCCTCAGATGCGTAGTGTCTGAAATGAGACAAAGGATGACAACAAAAAGTTTTTTTGATGCTGAGTAGAAAGATGACTTCATTGGAGGGATCACGGATATTTAAATCAGTGAGTCCCTATCTGAAAAAGTCTCCAGATATTTGAGGTTCATTCATTACAATTTATGACAGCAAATTCAAGGGCTGAATATAGAAAGCATTTATATACATGTATATGTTCTCTGTGATATGCAAGATACAACTCTTCTGTTTTATGTCTGAAATAAGAAATCATAACAGAACTAGTCCCAGCAAGCACAATGATTCCCTAATAGAGTGGGAATTTTTCCCTGTCATATAGGAACCTACTAAAAGATTGTTTAACTTACTTTTTTTAAAAAGTCTAATTAATGTTACCACGCAAAAACTCAGCATGTTTGCATGAACTTTGCCAAGCCTGAATAGAACTACTAGTCCATAAAACGAGTTCAGCCATTCAACAGAGGCCAGTTTAGGACTATACACAGAGGCGTGTTGCCATGAAGATAGATGTAAAGCAGCAGAGTCCTCTATCACTATTGCCTCTTAACCTTGCAGCCTACTTTTCTTTGCTACCTGTTTATTATTTAGATGATCTGTGCTGTCTTCCCTGTGGATTTCAGAAAAGTCTTTGTGACTTTTACCTCCATAGATAGTTGCTTCCCAGTGTTTTCTCCTCACATGTTGTGACTCGCCTTATTTTCATATTTGTTCATTTCAGAGACACAAATTTTCTGGTTTGCCAATTTCTATGAAAAGTAAAACATGAAAATCTTTCCTAAGCTGATTGCCCATTCTTTTGGAGGGGGTTGGGGGGGAAGGTGAAACAACAAACAAAAAGCCACCACAGAACAGTCATTACCTCATATATCAAATGGTTTTGATTTTAGTATGGTAACATCATTACTGTCACTTATTAGAGAAAGGAAATTTAAAATTAAAACACAAAAAGTAATTTTGACCCAAACCACCCTTGAAATACAGCTTTCTTGTACTGAGTACAATTCCCCTACCAATACAGTTTAGGGGATATTGAGTGCAGTTAAAATCTTTTCACCTAAATTCAAATTAAAGTTCTCACTGAGAGAGAACTTCTAAGTGTGTGTCCATCCCACATCAGCATTGCACTCAGTTCTAAATATATGTTTGAGTCTGAGTTTGCACTTCTTTGTCAAAGAGGCGGTTAACTCATGCATGTATTTAAATTGAGGCTTAGTCCTGGTCCTTCACAGAATAAAACTGTGAAAATTTACAGGCTAAAACAAAGCCCATGGAGTTTTAGTAGAAAAAAAGACATCTCTGTCTTGAGAAATCCTTTATACATCAGAATATAGTCCCAAAGAGGTGGAAAGATAGTGATAGCTGACAAACTCTTTTTTCCAAATGTTAGTTTTCTTGTTTCCAGTATAGATGTGCTACTGTTTCAGCTACTATCAAATCCGTTGTTTTCCACTGTCATAGTGTTAAGTGCTGAAGTGGGAATAGTTAAAGGAAACACTGTTGTTTCCATAAAAGTGAAAGTTCCCAGAGGCAGATATAATCAGTGAGGTCTTTTAGGGACTGATGTTTCAAACTTGTGAGATCTATGTCATGTCTTGAAGTTGGACTCACAGAATAGCAATATATCATAGCCAATTTATTCTTTTAACATCCTCTGAGATTCATAAGAAATTTTCTAAGTAATGAATTGAAAATTATTTCCAGGAGAGTGGAAAACAAAATAGCATACTTACTCCCACTATCAAATGAGCATATTTCTCTCTTCATCATGTGTATATCTGACTAGATGAGGATGTAAGTGTTTGAATATGAATGAAAAAATTCTGGTTTTTTAAGAAAAAGTTTCTGTGAGCCAAGGAATCAGTTATGAAGGGGAATCTTTTTTTGTTTTGTTTTGCTTTGCTTTTTGCCTTATTCTTAGGTGACATGAAGAAGCAAAATTTAGGTGTTGCTCATTAACCCAACAGAGAAGAAAAAAAAGTTTAAAATGTTCTTTTAGATGAGGTTCAGTGCTCAGCTGCAGAGCAGGTAGATTCTTCCACACTCACAGACCAATCCTTCCCACAACATCCAGCCCTTAGCTGGGTGTCAGTCTCTCTTAATGACTGAGATCTGAATGTATAATCCAAGCTCGGTTGATTCTTGGCTTCCTTCACTGTTAACCCATTCAGTTTCATGAAGGGGGGATGGCTTTGAAATTTGTACCACTGATCTTCAGGGCCAGGGGGGAACTTGACAGCCTATTCTAATTGGAAAGTTGAAACTTAGTCTTTTTGCTGAATTGAAATGTCTGTAAATTGCTAACAACATATAAATAAATAGATATATAAATAACAGATTTGTTAAGGCTCTTCATTTAAATTATTAACTTGCCTTAATTTAATTTGCATGCTATTTTTCAGATTTCTCTTGATGAACTTCATCACAGACAGGAATTAAAATGTATTGTTGGCAGAAGAGAAAAAAAAATACTTACAGCCATTCAAAACACAGGAAAAAGATTGAAATTTTATATCTACAAGGTATGGCTCATTCTCATAGAGTACTTAATCCAGTCAAAGTAAGAAGAACTCCTGGAAGTTTATTACCACTAAACGTTCTTTAAAAGCATGGACTTAGTACATCAACAGACAGAAGAGGTGGAAATTAAATGAGGTATCTGGTCTCCTGAGTCTCTGGAGTCAAAGGGAAGTGCTCCCATCCCATCAAACACTACCAGCAAAATACCTCACACTGAAAAAACGGCTTTTTATTTTTGAGGTAAATATAGCCAAAGTTTTGTCTTCATTGTTCAAAATGTGGGGGATTTTATAGCTTAATGCTAGACAAACTCAATATCTGACTGAAATAACCTTAGAGAAGGATATATATTGAGGCCTGAATTCAGACTGCTCTGTGAAAGTACATCTGTTTTATATGAGACACACAATCTGTCTCATTCCAACCTGCATTTCTGGGTCACTTGAGACATTTAAACTGCACTTATAATTAACAGCTATTTTTAAACAACGAAAAAATAGAGCACTGGTAAGGTACAAAAGCATTAAAATTGCCCCAGTTTTGCTTTTCAATAGGACACACCACTGCAATATGCTTCAAGATCAAAGAGAGCTCAGAAAAAAGAGACAGGCTGATCAGTGGGGATAAATTGTTCCCATTATGATGGTGTAAGAATAGGGTTCTTTCAATTGAAACAATTTAATAACCACATTCATTACACTGGTGTCCACTTGGTTTTATCTGAGTAGTTTTTACATAACTGGGAGAAAGTTCAATTGAGCTTATTCTCTAGAAATTAAGATGTGCAGGGTTTGACATTCAGAAATTAGGCACTAATAGTCAGCAAAGCAGTTGTCTTGAGATTCCCCCTGGATATAGCTGGATCTGCGTACCACTAATTATGTCAAATGCAAATGTATTCTCTAAAAGACACACCAAAAAATTTAATTAGCTCATTTCCAGACAGCTAAGGTTATATCAGAGCTATGACAGCTATCACAGCATGTTCTTTTCCATGCTTAGAACATCACTTTCACAAATGCAGAAGCCAAGCAAGTGCAGCACTGCTGTTTGTAAACTTTTTTCTCCATCATCTACAGCAGAAGCACTTTTAAGGGCCAGTCTTTAATAATTTTAAGGGAAGAAACCCACCTCCAGGGTGACATTTTCAGCTACATTTTTATAAGGAGCAAGAGAGTCATTGGGAGATTTCCCTCTTCCTCTAGTACTGACTTAAGCAGTCAACACCTGTGTTTCAGCAAAGAGAAGAATTCCTCACCAGACACCTTGGTAGAGGAAGATTGAATTCATCAGTCCTCAGCTGCATGACAGTGTGCAAAGCATGGGGTGAAGCACCACTTGGTTTGAAATATCGCGGAGATTTTAAGCACAAATTCTCCTGAGAAGAACCAAATCCAGAGCTTGTGGAACATGTCTAAAAGCCACCATACCCATTGCTGTCTGCTAGCCTCACTGGTAAAGGGAACATAACATCCTTCCTTGTTTTCTTGCTGCTGCCAAACCAGTGAGGAGTAAAGGCCTGTTGAAGTATGCATCATGTGGCAACTGCACAGTAATAGCATTTCTTCCCTCTACCTCTGTCTTCTTCTTTTTTATCAGAAGACAAAGTGTAAAAACTATGAAGTTACCCTTGCCTTAGTGAAAGCTTTTACATGGATGACTTTTCCAGAAGCAACTGTTCTTCTGTTACTTGGCTATTTCCCCAGATGGGATTTGCAGTATAAAGCGATACATGGATCTGATATCGAGGAAAGGGAATAAACTTGTACAAATCACTGGAAAAATAATATGCCATATAGATCAATAAATAAAACCTAGTTCCAAAAAAATCAAGCTCCAGCATTCTAGACCAATTAAGATGTTATTTACTGCATACATGATTGCTAGTTTGACACTCTCCTTATTCATTTTTACTCTATAGGCATTTGTTTTGTTGAAAGATATATAACTGATTTGTAAATAGAAAATGATATAGATAGATTTTATGCCTCATAAAACTGTTAATCTGTGCTCCATATTAAATGTATGTTGTACTATTTCTCTGTACTTAGACACAGCTCTAGTATAATTAAAATAAAGTATGCTGGCTTTATTTTTTCAGTAAGTCATTTCCAAGCATAGAGCTCAAATAACAGTGCAACTGTGGCATGAAATGTGGTTATAATAGCCTGAACCACATTTCCTGAATCTAAAACATGGGAGATAATAGTGTGAAGGTACAAATTAAATGCAAATAAAACAGATTCCCCATTGTTGGTAATCCTTGGATTAGATTTCAGTGAGAAAATTAGCTGTAATGTTTAAGTTCTTTGTATAGTAATCACTGATGTTTTATCAGTTCCATTTTCAGAATTTGTGTATGAATTATTGCACAGAAATTTGAAAAAGCCAAACCTCCACCTCTGACTCCATGAATGAACCTATTCTATAGTAAACCATATCTAAACCTAACAATATTTATCATTTAACACTGAAACAGTT